GTCCTGTGCAGACGGGACCCCGAGGGGTTTGGCACATCCCCGGTGTCACGAGTGGGCTCAGGGGTCTCACTCGCCCTAGGGTACAGCGGCTTTTATGAATTTGTGAATTTGTGATATTTTTGCTTAATTTACCGGCACTGCCAACACATCAGGGAGGGGAAGCAGGTTCACACATCTGGGGAATAGCTCAGTTCCTAAAATCTGAGCTGCTCAGGAAGGATCTATGAGGCTCATATCCCACTCTGTGTGGATATATGGGATTTGTATCCCCTTCGGGTTGCGTATATAGGATTTATAACCCCCTTGGGGTGGACAGATGGGATTTATATTTCCCTCTAGTTGGATATATGTAATTTAGATCTCCCTAGGTGGATAGATGGGATTTATATCCCTATGGAAATTATTTTCCTGTTTAAAATTAATAATGGATGAATGCTTCTCTATTGAAGCTTTTCTCCTGTAAAATGATCCTTGAAAAGAGCCTGTGAGCCACTGATATCCCTCATGCCCAGGCGGGACAATTGTGGGACAAGCAGTTGTAAATATTTACATATTGACTCTTTTAACTTTGGAGACACAAATAACCGGAAACGTTTTGGCAGCATGGTGACAGAATTAAAAAAACACCAAAACCAACCCAAATGGGAATCTCGGGTTTGTTCCAACTTTATGTAAACTCCATGGAGAAAATATTTCCCTGGGATGGTTTGATAAGGAGCTGCTGGAAAACACCAGAGACCTGGAGAGCTTTCTGCTCGCTTCCTACCAGGAGGTAACTGGGAAAGGTTCTCACAACTGCAGGGAAAATCCTCTTTGTGTTAAAGCTGCTTATCCCAGGGGTTTGCCAGGAGGGCTGGGTGGCTGCTCATGGAGACACCACCACCCTCTGAGTGGGGAGAAAAGGGTAAATCTGGGAAAAGAACTTGTGAAAGAACCAGGAGGATGGTGTCGCTTTGGGGTTAAAGAGGTTTGGGTGAATATTCCCAGCTTTGGGAGCAGGGAGGGCATGTCCAGCTGTTCATCCGTGGTGTGTTTGGCCATTGCTGTCCCAAAGCACCGCTGGAAGGTGAAGATTTGGTTTTAGGATTTGCTCTGGAAGGGAATGATTCAATTTATATTTAGGTCAGGTTACAACAAACTGCTTTATTTTCTGAGTCTGCATTAGAGGGATGCTTTGTAGAAATAAACCCATAACCTTCAGCCACGTCTTTTATTTTCCTTTAATTGCTTTTTTACTCCACTCCAGGGTTGGAAATCTCACTGCTGTGTGATCCTGAACCATTTTCCGGGGCGTTCTTGGCTTTTCTCGATCCACCTTGGTGGCAGCACAAAGCCAGGAGGTGGCACTGCCAGGCAGCGCGTCCGGTCTCGCTCTGAGCCCGCTTCCAGCCTTTGTAAATAACAAAAGTTTTCTTCTTTGTACCTGCCCTGGCAGCTCGGGAGATTCCCCTGGGATCCAGGAGGGCTCAGGAGGGATCCGAGGGCTCTGGGGATTTGTGACCACCACGAGTCTCCTTCAGCATCCCTTGACTCAGCCTCGTTTGTCCTGGGTACACCTGGGCCAATTTTCCGTCTTTCCTTCCCGTTAACTCTCCCAAGGAAAAGCAACACAGGCACCGAGTGTGGGATTGCACTTTTTTCTTCCCCAAAAAGGAATTTAACTCTGATTTCCTGACCAAAACCACCCATTGCTGTGATGGTTTGCTCTCCATGGTGGGGTTGGAGGTTTTCTGGTCCATCTTCTCCCAGATATTGTGGGTGTTTCTGGAAAATAAGCAGTTCTGGAAGAAACAAAGTTGGAAGCTCCTGGGTTTAGAGGCTGGAGAAGATCCTTTGATGGGACAAGCACTGCACACATTGTTTGCATTTGTTATTCCAGTTCTGGATTATTTACCATGAGACACCATGCACCAGGTGTTGGGGGTTTTATTGGCAGAGGTTCTTATTTACAGCAGAATCCAAGGAAACAGGAAAGGCCTGAAGGATTGCTGAGCTGCTCTCACCAAAACCTTCAGCCACAAAATCTCAGCAGAAATTCCAGAACAGAGACAACACCTCCTGGAGAGGATTTCATCATCAACACCTGGCAGTGTCCTGGTCACCATCCCAGCCACAAAGTCTGGAATGAAGGAAGAAGGTGAGCAGAGAGTGGTGGGACGGGGCTTGGAGCGTTCCTGGGATGTTGGAGAGCTCCAGTGGGGAAAGCTTGGCCAGGTGGGATGGAGCTTTGGAGGAACCTGGGCAGGAAGGTGGAACCAGCTGCTCTGTGAGGTTCATCCCAACCCAAACCATCCCAGGGATTCGTGGAACAGAGTGTTTGGATGCTGTGAAGGTCCCACTGAGTGCCAAGGTCATTGGGAAAACGCCCTGGAGAGCCTCTGCAGGCCATCACTGAGGTCACAGCTGGATGGGCTCTTATCTGCCTGGAAGGGCTTCTTATCTTCCCATTGTTTTGGAAAGTTGCTGCTTCAGAAAGAATTGCATTCCCCTGGGTTAAAGGACACACTTGGACTGTTGGAATCCCAGAGTACCTTGGGAGGAGGAGTCTGGGGGTCATAGCAGGAGACCCAGGAAGCTGAGGAGGATGATGAGGGTGAGGTGGCCCTGCAGGGACGATCCCAATGACTCCTGAAAATCCTGGTGAGCCAAGGAAAAGAAATCAGTCAGAAAGTCCCATGTGCTGAAAGCCTGTGGCAGAGCTGACAGGCACCCACCTGAGTGTCCTTGGCATCCCCTGGAGTGGCCTTGGCATCCCCTGGAACATTTATGTCAGGTAATCCTGAAAGCTCAGTGGTGTCATTCCATTCTGGAAAAAACTTGTCATAATCTATGTCTCCAGTGGTGTTTGTCTGCAAAAAAAGAAATAACCTGGAATATCACAGTGTAGGATTAACTCCTAAGAGAGAGATCCCTCCTTGGGATGGTTTGATAGTGTTTAATTGGGAAAACAAGGAATTCCCAAGGAATTTCTCCAAACCATCCCATGATTGCTGTTCATGGACACTCTACTCCAACTCACTTGATTTATTCTGTCATCTAAAAATCAGCAGCTTTAATCCATTTATTCATCCTTGTGGCAGAGATTTGGGTGAGGAAAATCTGTTTTTTAGGGGAATACCAACTCACCTCATATGAATCAAACTCGTACACGTACGTGGCAGGGGTTGCTGTGACGTTATCATAGTAATAATCTTCTGTGGAATAATAGTAATCACCTGGAATGGAAACAGCTCCAGGTGAGGTGACACTATGGGGACTGGGGATTCCTGTCCAATATGGGCTGTGAGTCCCTCTCCCATGTCCTGGGTTGTGATCACCCAGCTTTTCCCCCCTTGTGTAACTCAAATTAATCTGGACAACTCAGATAAATCCCTTCCCAGCCCTGGTTATCCCAACTCTCTCTTGTGGTTTGTGGAAAACGGTAAAAATGCTTAAAAAAAAAAAAAAAAAAAAAAGACATTTCTCACTTAAATGAGTCATGTATTCAAATAAATCCGGGGCGATCTCCTCCTCATCCTCGACCTCCGCCTTCCCTGAAAGCAAAGGAACAACCAAGGGATCACCACGGGGTTGTGGGGTCATGGGAAGCTTCATTGGGCAAAACCCCTTTCCTGTGGGACTGACCCACAATTAGATCCCAGCTAAAGGTGTGGGAGGTCAGAGCTGGGGTTTTTATTCATTTTTAGGTGTGGATGTGCTGGAAGTGAGAGATGCAATGGAGGGGATGGAGCCAGAGCTGGGCTGGATCTCCCCTGGGATCAGCCCTTCATCCAGGATCCAGCTGTTCCCCTGGGATCAGCCC